TATATACAAGCACTTATACAAAATTAAGAAAAATAAAAATAACATCAAGGGGATCGCAATCTGTGGAGTAAGGTGACCTGGTATAAGGGGTGATGTGGTCACAGAAATTGTCTAACAGTCAATATATGACATGACCCATCGTCCTATTTACAGAAGTAGAGCAGAACTTCAGTTATCAAACTTATACTTTGAGAAACATTGTAACGAATGCCAAAGATTTGTGCTGCTCTAATCAAGGCTAATGGACAATATTTTGACCGTACCAAATTTTAATAATGAAATATCTAATAAAAGATCATGTCTCAATTTTCTTAAAAATTGATAATAATTTTCTAGCAGAGATAGAGCGTATGAAAATATAGTATGTAAATATAAATATAAAAGTGAACACTGAATTCAACACTGAGGCGAAAGGCTGTTTCATGGTAGACGCCTGATGATTGCGTCTAGCATGAAAACAGCCTGTCGCCTCTGTGATTATATATATATATATATATATATATATATATATATATATATATATATGATATATATATAGACATATATCGGCTGGAATTACATCTCAAATACTGTCTCGTTGCATTCTCACGAAAAGTGTTTCTCTTTGGGGATGCATACAGCGCTTCCAAATATGTTACAAATTTTGTCGATGTTACATACTTATATATATATATATATATATATATATATATATATAGATACACACACATATATATATATATATATATATATATATATATATATATATATATATATATATATATATATATATATTGTAGCAAAAAAAATTAAGACGAGTAAGATATTTAATTCGGTGTTCTTATTGATATTTTCATTTTTACAAAATATGCTCAATGTAAATTTACAGAGAATAATATTATAAATTAATTGATTTAAGAATATTGTTTCGTCGTCACACGGGAATTACCACGTTTCAAAAACAGAAGACAAAAACTACAAATTCATATATTAAATTAAAAACATTAGTTTTGTTTCATCTTCAAGCGGATTTTGGAATAACTTATTTTAAAATTTACTGCATTTTTAAAGCACATACATTCATATTTTTTTCCCAAGGATACAGAGAAATCCAATCATTTGGACAGGGGCGGTAGCGTGTTCATTTTTATTAACTATTATTGTATCAGTTATGAGTTATGTTCGAAAATGTGTTAAGTTTATGTAGACTAGGGTTGCCTTTTTTCAATGAATTATGGCATCTGTTCAACTCATGTCGTTTGTTTTTTTTTATTAACGGCAAAAGTTTTTTCGGCATTTTATTCTTTAAATTTCTGCTTATATACATACAGAATCTTTCTGATATATATATATATATATATATATATATATATATATATATATATATGATGATCCGCATTAATTTACACAGCCCACATAAAACATTTATTTTTTTAAGCGTTACACTGCAAGCAAGGCGGGAAGCCACTAGCACGCAAGGGGTTACACAGAGTTGGAGTGAGAGCAAAGAGGAGTGATAGAGGAAAGGAAGAAGAGAAGGATAGGGGATAGATCAGGGCATCTGGAGACGTCGATTGACATTACATTTGAATAGTTGGAGATTATAGCTATCAGGGAAACAAGAAATGGGGAAGGACTCCCACAGGCGAGAGGTGCGAGACATGAAGCTATTGGAGTAGAAGAGACGGTTACATTTAACAGTTTCGACAGGGAAAGGGCGTGAGCGAGATGCCAACATAGTAGAAGGGTTAAATCCATGAAGTCTGGGATCCAGCGAAATCAGCTCATCGGAGCAGTCACCATGAAATATTTCTTAAAAAAAAAAAAGACAGAGGGGGGCGACGGCTCGTCTGTGAGAGAGCGACTGCAGACGAGATGCCAGATCAGGGTCAATTATATTGCATATCCGTCTATGGAACTTATCAAGAACCTTGGGACAAACAGAAGGGGCACCGGACCATATATGGCAGCAATACTCCATGAAAGGGCGAATGTTTGATTTGTAGATTTGAAGGATCGACTCCGGCGAGAAAAATTTCCTGGCGAGGCAGAGAAGCCAACTTTCCTTGCGGCTGACGAAGCTATTGACTCAATGTATTTGTTCCATCTCAGGTCAGCAGTCAGTGTGATGCCGAGTAGTCGCAAAGAGGAACTCTCAAGAAGTTGAGCGTCAGACATTCTAATGGGGGGCAGGGATGGTTCTCTGTAAGGAGTAATAGAGAGCATTTTTGTGAGGCGTTAAAGTTAACCAGCCAATTTCTGCCCCAGTTCACAACCGATTCGAGGTCCTTTTCGAGACGAACGGCCAGGTTAGTTTTGTCAACGACAGTACACGTTAGTATATACATTAACTTTTACAGAAATGTTAGCTGTTACCTTCGGATTATCAGATGTTTATTATTAGTTATGTTTTCCCTTTTAGAATTCCTAGTTATTAATCTATTCTCTTAATACTATTCTCAAGCTTTGTCAAGAGAACAACGTCTCCGTTTCTTCAGACCACTTTTTCGGCGAGGAAATTTTCGACCATTCACTGTCCTGTTTAAGATTATTACATTTCACTGGTTTTAGATACGAGTTCACCATTCTATTATTGTTCTTGTTTCTAAGGGCAATTTCTTATAGCACTGCTTTTAGTTTTTGAATAGCATATTTCCATAATACTTGCGTTTCGGATTTCGTATCTACTTCAGTCCCAGGCGTGCAGTTTGTAGTTCAAACCTTAGACTGTCTTTGCTGCTGAAAATTAAGCTGTCTTTTCTCTCTTTTCTTGTTACTTAGTTTTACACAGAATTTGTTAATTCGCTTTTACCTAAGTATTAAGATGCCGGAGAATTTCGTTAGAAACAAAGGAATGAATGCTGATGTCTTATCTAAAATCAGTTATTTTCTTCATGACAGTGAATGCCGGATAACTTCCTCACAGACGAAAAAACGACTTGAAACAACAGAAATCTTGTTCCACAGACCGATGCTGAGAATACCGTAGATTGAACATGTGAGCAATAAGGAAGCTTTAGCAAAAATTTGAACGATGCATATTTACAGTCAGAGACAGTTGAATTTTCTTCGACATATAACTAGGATGGTGTCTTTGGAAGCACTCGCAGGATATGTAGAACTTAAATGGGTCATTTTCTAACGAGATTATACAAGTGCTGCATATCAGAGTAGTAAATGGGAAGGATTGTAATACAACATACGTTGCTTACTTCTACATGTGATAGAAAGCTGTGGAGAGCTATGATCACCTAAATCCTAAGAGATCTCGATTCATAATGATAAAAACTCTAAGCACGGTGTCATCCATGTACATTATTATAAGTCAACGTGTAATATTTTCTTTTTTTTTTTTTTTCCTTCTAATACGATCGTCTCAGAATATAAGTAAATCAAATGAGAAAATACGTTATTGTCTTGCTTTTTTTTTAATCCTGTTATTTATTTATCTATTTTATGCTTACCTCTTATGCCTGTATTCTGTAGTTTTTCCTTTTCTTAACACATCTCTTTCTGCCATTAAGAAT